GGGACTACCCAGGTGCACCATTAACCCCCTTCCCGATTCGGTGTGATTCGTCATTGTCTGCTAAGACGCAGTGCAATTTGTTCACGAATTCCACAGACCAGCGAAGCTCCCACGTCAGTTTCTCAGAGTTTCTACGCCTGACACATTAGTTGCAACTGGGAAGTTCAGGAGCATGGACATGTTTGATGGCTGCTTGGTAGACACACAGAACCGTCAGACACACAGGCTTCGCCTTAGAAGCTACGTATCTCAGAACCTCTACGCCCAAATCACTACATGCCTCAGGCTGTGCACGGTACACACCTACAACTGTCAAACACCATGTTAAGGCTTGAAATACTATGGAGGCAGTGACGGCTGCATAGTATGCAGACACAGGTTAAAGCACCAGTACATGGGCACCTGGGCCGCTGGTCTGGCACCTCAAATTCTGGAGGTGCGAAGAGAAAACGTGGCCGCCGATCGAATTTATCAATGGCGGGCCCAGCATTTGTCGTTTCGCCCTCGTTTTCTTGTGGCGACAAGTTTCGGACTGCAAGGCTGGGGCCGTGTAGTTGTGGTTTAAGGCTTGCAATACTATGGAGGCCGTGACGGCTGCATAGTATGCAAACACAGGTTAAAGCACCAGTAGTACATGGGCACCTGGGCCGCGGGTCTGACACCTCAAATTCCGGAGGCGCGAAGAGAAAACGCGGCCGCCGATCGAATTTATCAATGGCGGGCCCAGCATTTGACGTTTCGGCCTCGTTTTCTTGTGGCGAGAAGTTTCGGACTGCAAGGCTGGGGCCGTGTACTTGTGGTTTAAGGCTTGCAATACTATGGAGGCAGTGACAGCTGCATAGTGTCCACATAGGACTCCCAACGCTAAGGCCTGGAAACTGGTTTGTCAGCACTGTTATGTTAGAAGCACTTGTTAGACCAACTGGCCTAGCTCAGTTAGGACACCCCTAAACTGTTAAAATGCAAACCTGAGTTCGAACTCCTTGCGACAATTTGCAATTACCTACCTGGTAGAGGCGGTCAGTTCGATGACTGTATCTCAAGGCTCGCCCTTTCTGAAAAAAGCTGCACTCCGTAGAGTTCACAGTTACATACACGCCAGAAGGCTGCATGGTACACACCTAGAACTGCTGATACACAACCCAAGACTAGAAATACTATGCCGAAAAGAGATTTGGATGCGTCAGCAGCAACACAACCCGTCCACTGTGAAGCTCACATCCACAGGCAAGTCCCAGTTGAGTTGTTTCCAAAAACATACGTCCACTGTGAAGCTCGTATATGTAACGACCTCCCTTACTCTGTGTTCGCTGTCGTCACTTCTCTTGCACTCAATAAGTTTTGAGTAGGGTGGTGAAGGAGGACTAGGCCCTATGGTTCGCTTGCTTTCAATCTTTTGACCTGTCAATGTATTTTCTGCCTTACGTTTCGTTCCAGGTTTGACGGTACAATTTTGCCATTTAGACTGCTTCAACTGTCATTCGACAGCTCCGACGCTACCTTTGCTTCAAAGGCTACCTGTTCAAGTTAATATTTTTTTTCGAGCGGGGCGACATAAATAGTTGCTTCACTCTGATTCAGTGTCAAAGACCCCAGGTTTTGTAACAACACACTACATACAATGGTCCAGCTTCCTATTCGTACAGCAGATACGAAAGGGAGAAGTACTCGTCACACTCTATCTACAGAGAGGGGTAATTGAAGCGCTCTATCTATGCCACTTCTCTTCCTGGGAGAGAGCTTTCCTCCTCGGCCTCTGCTTTAGGACCATTTCAGAACAGAGTCGGAATGATCGCCGATGCGCTTGTTGGCAAGCCAGCTGCTAAGACCCAACAAGAGAGTTCATCTGTTCGCTTCGCCATGAAGCTGGACGTGGTTCTTTCGAGATCTTTGTGGAGATCAGTTTGGTCGACACGGGGTGTCGTCTTTTCACACGAAGGGATTCGTGAATGTGTGCCCGCTATTTCATGAATGAATTTTCAGGCTCGTCTAAGAATACTCCCCGTAGGGGTTTGCTGCAACTTTCTGCAAGGCACGTGAGAGTTACCGGTGTGTTTGTTACTTTGCTTCATGCCTCGGTGTGCATTGCTTCTTCTGAACGATGTAGTTTTCACAACGAACAGTGTGAAAGTGTGATGCACCTACTTGAAGAGATCCAGCACACATGCAATCACGGATAAGACTACAACAAGTTCGGCAATTTCTACTTCATATAGATACTAAAGGGAGCACCAGAAGCAAAGACCCCTTTTCTGGACGACGTAGTTTTCACGAGGACTACTGTGAAAGTGTGATGCACCTACTTGAAGAGATCCAGTGCACATGCAATCACGGGTAAGAGTAGGACAAGATCTGCTCTAAAATCAGTCTCTACTTCATATACATAGATATTAAAGGGAACACCAAAAGCAAAGGCAGCTTTGTGGGCCTCTACTGACGCTGAGGTGTCAAAGCACGGGGGGCAAACGCGATCAAAACACCGCCAAAGGTGTCCCCTCTAATCGTAAGATCATAGTGTGCATCCAGTTATACCGGGAGAAACTTCATTTACATTTACTCGGACGTATCAATCATAAGGGAAGTCTTGATTCATTTACATTTACTCGGATGGATCAATCGTCAGTGTTGATTTGATATAAAAGTTAGCAAGAGGATCCCTTAGAGACTCCGAAAAAAAGTAGAAATGAAATCCGGAGGACTTTGCACCATCCATTGAGTGCAAATGAATTTGGCTCAACTGCCCGAGGTGCTTGCAGAGCGCGCACTTCACTTGTCAAAGTGAGCTAAACAACCACAAAGAGCCAAAGCTACTCAGTGCATTGCATCCAGCATAAGCGTCTAAATAAACGTCGTTCATGGGCTCCAGATGTTGATTACCAGCTCAGACTAAGAACACCCTTTGGATTCAAATTTTGGGAGCCAGCCAACTCATAGTAAGTTCGAGCTACCTCATGGGTGCCTGTGCATGAATGCTGTCCTCCGCATTCGCTCTTAAACCACCACTGCAAAACACCTGACCCCCACCCACCCACCCACCCAACCCACGTGTACAAGTAGACTGTGGTTACCCTGGGTAATCAACTCAACATTCAGGCGGGCAAGGTACCTGAAATAGACCAGTCAGTTCGTTTACAGGCCCGCAGGCCCGGACTTAGGACCAGAAGCAGTGGTGGTTTAAAGCGCAAGATCAAGCAATCATAAGGCTTTTCTTACCATGATATCATATCTATCGCCTTTACAACTTCATCATTCAATTCTACACTTTACAACGTTGCAGAATGCTAGACTGAGCATTATTTACGTTGCTACTTTGATTTACCACGTTGCAGAATGCTAAACTGTGCATTATCTAGGTTGCTCTGCTCTGCTCTGCTCTGCTCTCTCTCTCTCTCTCTCTCCGTGGTTTGCAATCAACCAATCAGCCAATGACAATTATGAGAAAAAGCAGAGTTCCCTCTCTCTCTCTCTCTCTCTCTCTCTCTCTCTCTCTCTCTCTCTCTCTCTCTCTCTCTCTCTCTCTCTCTCTCTCT